TCAATCGCTGAGAATATTTCAAATATAATTTTCACATACAATGACTTCTCTATAATCGGCGCTCAATTACTGTCAAACTAGTCGTTCTAATCTGGACGAATATTCGTATGAGTCTGTTCCTTTTTGGGATACTATATATAATTGCCTTATCTTAATTATCTATATATTGTGATTTTTTTTCGCGTTTTTTGGATATATATATTTTTCTCTCCTTCATTATCGTACTTCATATTTCATCATGACTGAACATACACCCAAAGTATTTAAGCTTAAGACTTTGTCCCCACCTTCGTTCCAGCTGATGCCCTTCTGGCCAGGCAACATCGCAGCCTGGTTCTGAAACGCAGAAGCCGACTCCTCCGAGCACGGCGTGATCAACACACGTGCACAATTCCTCGCAGCAGTCAAGGCACTACCGCGCGAATTCAACAGGTACGTAACACCTAGTATGTTTACTAGTGATGTTTCGGAACCCTACGAAACGCTGAAACGTTCTATTCTTAAACGCGGAGACCTAACCGGTCGACAAAGGTTAGATCAACTCTTTAATAACATAGAACTGCAGCACGGTTCTGCGACGGACATGTTGCAAAGGATGAGAGAGGTTATAGGCCTAAGAACTTTCGACGAAGGTCTATTCAATTAACTTTTCTCGTCTAAACTTCCCCAACAGGTGCAAGCAGTTCAGAACAACGCCTTAAACGAACTGGCTGCATCTGCCAATCGTATCTTAGAAATTACGAAATCTTCTACTACCGAGGTATTTTCAGTCAAAGAAAAGCCTCACACGACTCAGAATGACATAACCGAGTTATGTCATACACTCACGCGTTATCTTAGTCTTCGTACCGACCGTAAGAGATCGCGCACACCACGTAGAAGCATTTCTCGTAAGCGATCTGTCTCTAGACCACGAGAGACGGATAACCCTGAGTGGTGCTTGTATCATAACTAGTATGGAAAGTCTTTCAGAAATTGCAGAGAACCCTTCAATTTTCCTAACTCAAAGCCGACCGACACGTAAAACAACTTGGGAAACTTCCAAGCCGGCACGCGTTAACGGCGACCGTAGCCGGCGAACATAGCCGTCTGTTATACTTCACAGATGTGACAACGAGAGTTCGCTACCTCGTCGACACTGGCGCAGAAGTTAGCATTCTCCCAGCGAATTCTAATGACCGGCTTCACGAATCCGCTTTAAACTTACAGGCGGCAAACGGATTGAATGCAAAAACCATTTCCGATCACTACCAGTTGCCTCACATTCACGATTTTAAATGTACAACAGTCTTTTCGTAAATCGACTTGGTTAAAGCGTATAACGAAATCCCTATGGCTACTGACGGTATTCCGAAAACCACTATCATCACTCCCTTAGGACTCTACGAATTTTCGCAAATACGTTTCGGTCTAAGGAACGCTGCCCAGACTTTCCAAAAGTTCATAGATGACGTTTTTCGAGGTCTCAACTTCTTACATGTGTATGTTGACGACTGCCTAAAAGCAAGTGCGGACAGAGAATCACATCTGCAGCATCTGGATCCTGTTTTCGACCGACTACAAAAACATGGCATTACTGTAAACATTCAGAAACGCTAAATCGGATCTGACTCATTAGACTTCCTAAGACACACTATAGATGCTCAAGGCATTCGACCCCTTAGGACCAAAGTGGCGGCAATTCCGGATTACCCAGAACCGACCACGATCAAGCAACTAAAAACGTTTAACGGCCTTGTAAGTTTCTGTAGACGATTCGTACCTAAATGCGCTTTACTTCAGACATCCAACACATTTCTGGAGCAAGCAATGTAGTTGCAGACGCCTTATCTCGCATAACGTCCTTGAACAGTTTCTAAAGAATCGATATTCTTAAACTCGCCCAGCTTCAAAAAGAAGACACTGATCTTCAGCACGAGTTATCGTCCACAACCCTTAAACTACGCATCAAACAGATGGGAACAAGTAAGGAAACCTTACTTTGTGACACATCTACAGGTAGGGGTCGCCCAATTGTGTCGAAACGTTATCGACGCAACGTCTTCAATATGTTGCACAAACTTTCTCATCCAGATGTTCGTGTAACCACCAAGCTTATAGCAGAACGATTTTGCTGGCCTGGCATGAATAAAGACGTGAGGGAGTGGGCACGCTCCTGTGTAAGTTGCCAAAAATTTAAGGTTATCAGACACAATAAATGTCCCTTAGGCTCATTTAAAACTCCCGATGCTCGTTTCGACCATGTTCATCTGGATTTGGTAGGACCGTTACCAGATTCAAATGGATAGTCTTATCTCTTAACTTGCGAAGACCGTTTCACTCGATGGCCAGAAGCAGTACCTATTAAGGACATCACTGATGAAACAGTGGCCCGCACCTTCGTCGAACGATGGGTAGCAAAATTCGGCTGCGCTTCAACCATCACCACAGAACGCGAACGTCAGTTTGGATCTGAACTTTTCCGTCGTCTGACCACACTTTTAGGAATCACGCACTTCCGAACGACCGCCTACCAAAAACAAGCAAACGGGTTGGTAGAACGTTTTCACCGACAACCAAATGCTTTTCTATCAGCTGCAAACGTTTCACAGTGGACCGACGCTCTTCCAATCGTCTTACTAGGTATTCGCGATGCAGTGAAAGCTGACATTGGATACTCTGCGGCTCAACTCGTTTATGGTACGACACTTCGACTTCCAGGAGAATTCGTGGATCCTTCATCCTCTTCAATGAACATGGATCTAACCTCCTACACGAACAGGCTTACAAACGCAATGCGTTCAGTTAAACCTGTTTCCGCTCGACCTCAATCAACCGATGTTTTCGTTCAACCTGACTTAAGATATAGTACACACGTTTTCGTACGTCGAGACTCGAATCGACGACCCTTCGAATAAGCATACGAGGGACCTTTCAAAGTTCTTCATTGTGAATCTAAGTTCTATATAGTCGATAAGAAATGAACCAACGATAGCATCAGTATCGATCGCTTAAAAGCAGCGTATTTAGAAGGAAATCCTATCTACGTGGATTTTCCTTCGGTACAATCGAACGACACGACTCCGACACTTACAACACTTCATCCGACAACCAACACGCACGATGATACTTCGACAGTATCTGAAAATAAACTTAAAACGACGCGTTCTGGAAGAAGAGTAAGCCTCCCAGAACATTTAAATGACTATTGCACGTAAGACACTAATTAACATTTTGTTTCATCTCGATTTACCATGGCATTATATATAATATAAAGAATTTTTAACATGCCTTTATTTATATATATTTATTATTTGGCTAATGTGTATATTAAAATTTTCTTTTCAAAAACAAAAACAAGAAAACATTTTGTAAAATTCGCTTTTACGTTATTTACATTTTTTCGCCCATTTTGTGTTTTAAAGCGAGTTCCAGTTTATTTCGAAATGCACTTATATATTCCTTTTTCATCTGAAGATCTGGAGCAAATATAATAACAGCCTATTCAGCAGATTGGCAGAGAAGATTAGAGGCGCTATTTCTGCTGGGATAATGAATAAGCGCATAGAATAAGACGTCAACGTATTCATCAGTTCACACGCGTATCTTCCTTTTGTCGTTGCTCTCCCATTTCAACCTTCTCCTTAGCATTCTCATTTATTCGCTTGTTTTAATTTTTTAGTTCTAAATTTTGTATTCTTTCTCTTCTTTGTATTCGACCAAAACAGCTTGGAATCCATCACTCTGTCAGACAAGGAACTACATGTGACTTAATCATACATAGGCAGGAACTTCAGTATCCTGGGACAAACGAGATTATCAGCCTTCGGACACACCAAACTTGAGATGTCTATCCTAATCACAAGGGTGTCTGCTGTTAAGTGGCTAAATTAGCTTCACTGGACGTTATTAGCTATCTCTAACTGTTCATAAATAGCGGTAATTTAGGGTAATACAGCTAATTATTTGTAAGAAACTAGTCAAAAAATCATTAAGTGTAATCGAAAACTCATCGTGAATAGGACTAACGTAGCCACTTAAGTACAAAGGTCCCACAAGTCTTCGGAGGTTGACAGTGCCTCTACTCGTAACAAATTTACAATCCAAGTGTGTGTAGTCAGTGAAATCAGAACTCAGAAATGACGAGGCTCGAAGATATGTTTTTAAAGGCAATCGATATTTAAGGAATCGTTTAATCTAAGCTGGATGATGGTTGTCAGAAAGGCGTATCACTACCCACCCACTCGTGATCTGCTGTGGATGCGTGACCAAGCACCTTCGGCTAAACCTATCCATTAAAACTAATGAGACAAGCATGAACTGTCGAACACTCACAGAACTATTTATTTTCGGAATTATTTGTCGCTACATGCATTTTTAACTCAGATTCTAAAACCGTCTGCTCATAATTTTTCTACTGTCTGCTGACACAATAAGGGCCACGTTAACTGATGTTCCAGAAATGTGAGGTAGTGGTTGGATGTATTCGGCAGGAATGGTCGGATGTAGGTGTCGTGCTATTTGGAACTCGTCCGTAACATTTATTAGTTATCTCGAGGAAACTGAATCTTTCTCTAACATTCAAATAGCTCCCCACAGCTTCACAATCAGAGTCGTTGCCACTGAGTGATCCGCGTTTTGGTTAATGTCCTCAAGGACGGAGATACATTTACAGTTGATTAATCACTGGGAAGTGACTGTCATGTATGTCAATCACTGCATATTGTCAGTCGAACCATCCACAATAGTGGGCACTTTCCAACTTAATCGACAGAATTATGATAGTACCACGAAGGACTTGATATACATGGCATTGGCCATGAATAGCAAATGCCAACACACAACGGAAAATTCCTATTTGGTTACGAATTAGAGATTAGTGCTATTGTAGATGGTTCACCAGTGAGATGTTTCTTTGAAAATATCCACAAACCACGAATCTCCATGTATAAGCAAAACAAAATAGCCACCCCCCAAATGCTAATCACCATGTGCTATTCATATATACTGCGAGTCCAATTAGATGAACGATGTTTCAAAATACCAGTCGACCTTGAGGTGGCGTTTAGGTAGGTATTTCTAAAAATATGTGGTTGGTTGTCTTTTTGGTGGACTTCGATACGCTGCGAACATATTTGACGTCTCGAAATGTTTCTTTCTCGTTGATTCTCTGCTTTTAAAACATTCTAACTTAGGTTCATGGTGCTACAACGTAATATTAATAATGTTCATTAGTTTTTAGTGGTTTATTACAGCTTCTCTCGGTATATTTTTCTGTTTATTGTGATCATTTAGACCCTGAAGTCTACATAGAAGCTCAGTTTTATACATTTAAGTCCGGATTGTATCCCCATCTCCCTGTTTTGTGGATATTTCGGGTAGATTCTGTATTTTTTCCCATTGTCGTAAAAAATTTGGCAGTTTCCCCGAAGTTTGGCGTAAAACACCAAGTTTTGGTCATTCCTCGAAAGCTGGGGAATCTCCACAAAGCTTTCCAGTGCGGCTTTATCAAAATGTTACCAAAACAGATAAAATTCGCCACGAAATAGGGAGATTGCGATAGCTTTAACCATAGACTAAAACAATTGAATTAATGTTAGTAAATCAAGTTCCCGTGTATCCTTTGGAAACAAGTATGCTTTAATTCTCTCACTCTTGTAACACAAGATTTTCCTTGTATATTCTTTCAGTTTGACGGACGAACTTTCGATACAGTCTTCAATAGTTTCATTCGTCCCCATTTAGAGTACGGAAACATAGTATTCCCCTCTCACTCCAATAGGACAAGGTCACTTTGGAGCGTATCCAACGGCGAGCCACGAAATCATTTCGAGGACTCAAATCTAAACCTTACGAAGAACGCCTCCATTCACTAGATCTTTACCTATTGGAGTATAGGCGTCTTAGAGGTGATTTATTAATGGCTTATAGTATTCTTAACACTTCTGGACATCCTCCTAAACACCTACTTAAGCTTAGTTCGAATAATAACCTAAGGGGTAACACCCAGAAACTGGAGACACAACATAGCAAAACGGAATGTAGACATAACTTCTACTCCTTAAGCTGGAATTCGCTGCCGGCCGAGCTAGTCCAAGCGACTTCTCAGGAGTCCTTCAAGAGGCAACTTGACCTATTCTTAAGGACCAAGGACGGCATCACACTATGGTTTACCAATTTCTTTTCCTCTTTTATTGTTAACATACCTAGGTTCCTGCCTGGAGGACTTGGTGATCCCCTGCTACTAGACACGGAAGCCTGTTAAGCGAAAGCTTCTTCTATTCCGTCCACAACCATTTGAACCATTTGAAGTGGTTGGAACTAAACGTCCTCAACGAACTATGCTTACTAAAACGCCTGAGTTTTACACCTAATTTTTTTCCCCTGATATCCTCCATTAATGACAAACTTATTGTCAGGCGTGTTGAGTATTTGTGAAACACGAATATTTCGTAACATTGCTTTTACTTCAACATAGATCACCTATGACAGTAGTAAGGTTAAGAACTCAAGCAACCTATGTTAATCCTCACATTTCATGTTAATGTGAAGGTTCTAATGCCTCAAGAGATGTCAATATTTTGTCTTACATTGAGCTCCAATAGTTTTCTACTCAAAGGGAAAAACGGAAATTCCGGCTTGGACTATTCGATCTCGATTTTCGGTCTCAGAATGATCAGTCCAAGATCAAAAGAAAATCTTAAACGTCACGTAAATCATCTTTCAGCATACTGTAAGCCAGTATTAAACCACGTAATAACTTACAGTAAGAGAACGAGTAGGTTGTGAATTCTGTCTGTGTTCATAATCTAGGTCAGAGAGACTCTTCACTGTTTAGATCCCTCGTCGTTAGTCCCCTTTGACATATCCGCTGCCTGAATCCCATGTTCTGAATGCGGCCTCGCCAATGGGTTTGATACTCTAGACATATTTAAGTGCCGAAGTGACTCAGTGAAATACTAGGTTATACTCGAGTATCATCATTATTTTGCTTTCGAACACTAGTCAGCGGATTTCTTCGTACCTGTAACCTTAAAATCACTTCAAGCAGTTTGCTTAGTCCTATGTCAGCATTTTCCACAATCCTCTCACCTTTTCTTACCAGTTTTTTTTAGCCTAAACTTCATTTGAGTTATCTGGTGAAGTTCTGTCAGCAAATATCCTGTCCTTTTCCAAATAATTTGTTTAATTTTAGGACGAGCTATCTGACTTGATCAAATTCCTTAATAATATTCATGGACCCGATCAAAGCTGCTACCTTGACGCGATGGTCAGGCTTGCCTATCGTGATGACCCAACCGAGCTATATTGGCTGGAACATATGTTCCTGCAGGTTCTACCATGCCAGGCAGGTCGATTGGTGAACGGTAAGACTAAAAGCAGCAACTCAAGGTCTGAGGGCAAAGTCGTACTGCTGACTGTAGAGGGGTGTGACAGCAGTAAGGTGTTTCCCTCGGACATCCAGCATGACAGCGATGATGCCTTCCCACAAGGAGGGGCGCGGTTAGGAAAGTTCGACCCTAAAAATGTCACACCTCACCTTACCTCACGGATTTCCGTCTCCGGCGGTAAGGCCCTTTGAAGAACGGAGCTAACACGTCAAAAACCTTCCACAAAAAGGCCGTGCGCGACCGGCCTCAAGCAGTTGTCCCTTGGGCTCTGCGGTCACGTTCCCAGGTCGTCAAGACCAACACTAGTCCAATTTCCTTTTCAGGTTCCTCAAGAAATACCCTTCCACGGTGTGGGCAGCCGGGAAGTGACATCAGCCCTCATACCCGTAACAGCACAAGAGACCAAGGTGGTCACATTCAAATCTTTCCTACACCTTCTAATACCTCTCTTATCTCCCCGACTAACCCTCCCCACGTCTCTTTATCACCTCGCACCGCTAGGGCAAACGATTCGAGTAAGTGGAACGCCATTCCTGGTCTCCTGAAACCACGTTCTAAACTACACGTAGGAGCTTTTAACGTCCGAACACTGTGCCAAATAGAACAGCAGGCTTCCTTAGCTAAAACTTTAGAATCTCGCGCCATCGATGTGTGCTGCGTCTCCGAAACGCGCATACAGGATCCGAGTAGCGTCATTCATTTGACCTCACCATGCCAAAATAAAGAACCGACTCGATTGACGCTTCGTGTATCTGGAAGCCCTGATTCTGCTTGCCGTGGCCTCGCCGGCGTAGGTATAGCATTGAGTCCTAGGGCAGAACTAGCTCTCTTAGAGTGGATCCCAGTAGACAGTCGTTTGTACGCTGTCCGACTGAACGGAACAGTAAGAATCCGGAAAGATAGGGACACTCGTCGTTGCCTCTTCGTCGTCTCTGCCTATTCTCCCACAGACTGCAGCTCAGATGATGTAAAAGATGAGTTTTACAGAAAGCTTTCCGACCTTCTCCGAAAAGCTAAGCGCTGGGATCTAGTAATAGTGGCCGGTGACTTTAATGCTCAAGTAGGTAAACTAAGCGATAGGGAAAGACACCTGGGTGGATCTTATGGTGTCGTGGCTCAAAGAACAGATAATGGCGACCGTCTGTTGCAGCTATGCTCAGATAACCGCCTGTTCCTTGCAAATACAAACTTTAAGCATAAGGAAAAACATCTTTTAACATGGCGACCCCCTAATTCGTCCCAACGTTGGACCCAAATAGTCACATCGCTATCAGCCACCGATGGAGGGGCTCGATAGAAGACTGTCGCCGATTCTGGAGCACATGCTTAGATTCAGATCATACTGTAGTACGAGCGCGTATTTGTCAGCATCTTACTGGACGTAGGAAAGACGCAGCAAGGAAACCTCTTAGGGTCCTACTTAATGATAGTCAAGCTAAGAGTATATTTCAGGCACAACTAGGAAAACAGTTAGGCAGTCATGTATGTGATGCCCACCCCGAGGCAGCATGGAACGTTATCCGAAAAGCTGTGGAAACAGCAGTGATATCTGCTAGTAAGGTAAACCAAAATGTTAGGGACCAGCACTGGATCTCAGCAGCATCTATCGCACTGATAGATGCTCGGAAACTCATTCCACCTGACTCTGAACATAACGAAGAGCGGAGTCAGCTTAAGCGCAAGCTGACAAGAAGTCTACGCAATGATCGTGAACAGCGGTGGGCAGCGAAAGCAAGAGAGATGGAAAAGACAGAGGCAATCGGTAATAGCAGACAACTGTTCAGACTCGTTAAGGAATCCGGTATTAGGAAACCGACTGTTAGCGAAACACTCTCAGAGAAAGATGGTCATATTATACATTCTCAATCCAGGTGATTGGATCGATGGGCAGAACACTTTAGGGATCAGTTCAACTGGCCTTCAGCCACACTTCGGTTTCCCACGATCTCTAGTCAACTTGAATGGCAAGTTAATGTAGGTCCTCCGACTCTTTACGAAATTGAGAAAGCCATAGGAAATGTGAAGCGAGGGAGAGCAGAAGGCCCTGACAGGTTTACTCCTGAGATTTTTAAGGATGGTGATCCAGTATTAGCAGTGAGATTGACTGAGGTCTTAGGTAGAATTTGGGAACTGGACGTAATCCCATCTGACTGGTCTCAATCACTGATTGTGCCAGTTTATAAGAAAGGACAAAAGTCCTCTTGTGACAATCATAGAGGAATCAGTTTGACTAATATAGTGTCTAAAATGTTAGCTTCAATAATACTTCGACGCCTAACTAAAGCTCGTGAAGAACAGACTAGAGAAAATCAGGCTGGTCTTCGACCTGGACGTGGTTGTATAGATCAGATATTCACACTATGTCAGGTTCTAGAACACAGACACACATTCAGACGGCCCACAATGGTAGTATTTCTCGACCTTAAGGCAGCATTCGACTCTGTTGATCGTGAGGTTCTATGGCAGTGTTTGTCACTGAAAGGTGTACCAAAGAAGTACATTAACCTTATAAAGGCTCTCTACTCGAACACAACTGGTAGAGTGAGAGCTTATGGCGAACTGTCATCAGAATTGATTGCCTCAAGTGGTGTTCGTCAGGGCTGTCCACTCTCCCCATTCTTGTTCAACTTTGTCGTTGACGTACTTTTAGAGATAACACTTTCCTCATCTAAATTTCCAGGGGTTGAACTTCTACCGGGAGACCTACTTGTTGACCTAAAATATGCCGATGATATAGTTTTATTTGGTGAAGACGCTGACAAAATGTAGAGTCTTCTGACCACTCTAAGCAACAATGCAAGCATGTTCGGCATGCGATTCTCTCCCTCGAAATGCAAAATGTTGCTTCAGGATTGGGTTACATCGACACCTGAACTAGTGATAGGGAGTGAAGTAATTGAGTGTGTCGACCGCTTCACTTACCTTGGAAGTCTGATCAGCCCTTGTGGTCTGGTGTGTGACGAAATCTCAGCACGGATACAGAAGGCTCGACTAGCTTTTGCCAACTTGCGTCATTTATGGCGTAGGTGAGATATCCGTCTATCAACCAAAGGACGTGTTTACTGCGCAGCAGTTCGTTCCGTCCTACTTTATAGCAGTGAAACATGGCCGGTAAGAGTAGAGGATATTCGTAGGTTGCTAGTATTTGATCATAGGTGTCTTCGAAACATTGCTCGTATATCATGGGACCATCGAGTAAGTAATGCAGTTGTTAGGAAACGGGTACTAGGTGAGGATGGCAAATCAATAGATGAAGCTGTTGTTCCAATTTCATGAATGTTAAGATATTTAACAGCATATTTTTCCGCTCATTATATAGCTGTTTTCGTTCCATTTGTGTCGCAAATATAATCTGATGTTTATTTTTAAATCTCTGGCAAACACGCTAAATACGGGTAACGATAACTTGCCTCCAACTGTATGCATCTCGCATTATACAATATCATCCAAATCCGTATCAGCATAGGCTAATCTGATGAAGCTACCGAATGAAGATATCAGTTGTTAACCCTTCCTCCAAAGGAAGCTTCTTATGTAATCACAACTTTTCATCATTAATTGCGGTAACTCATTTACCAGGGACAGGTTTATATACTTGGGTTTGAACTTTGAGGTCTAATGATAATACCCGGCTTCCTACGTCAGAGTAACTAGAGCAGTGTTTGAACCTGCAACGTGCTAAATTGTAATGGTTTTCTGTTACACAAATACCTACTAGGATCATATCACTAACGTAAGGAACGGTGAAGCGACTTAGTTGATTGCAATTTATGGATAGGGACAATTCACCATAATTCAGTCGCAAACAAGTGATTCAAAGTTATCCAGTCAAGTTCGTGATATTTTTCAGATCTTTGATATTCGGTTAGATATCAAAGTAAATTGTTGGTTCGGTGGAATTCGGTTCGGTATTTATGCGAACGTTTTGGAGTGGCTTTAGTAAAAGTTCTCACAAAAGATTTAGTATGTAATCAGTAATATATGTGTGGGGATATTAGCGCGTATTATTTTCAAGTAAAAGTAAGTGAAATTCGGATGTAGGTGACGGTAGATTCTGATTAGGTAATCAGGAAGTCTGATTATACATTCGGTTTGTCGTCTTTAAATTAAGATAATAACTATATATTTTGTGATATCCTAATGAGTAGAAATTTGTATTTCTAAAGTTTTGTGACTTGATGTAATTTACTTCCTCATAGTAAGTAAATAAATAACTAAAATAATTAACACAAGCCTAAATAGTACACTCGTTTGTTCTTTTTTTATCATTTAAACGTGTGTTAATTTATTTTATTTATTTATTTACTTTAAAGAAGTAATTCGCATCAAGTTGCAAAACTTCAGAAATACAAATTTCTACTCATTGGGATATCACAAAAAATATGATGATCATTAACTTTCTATCAAATGCCTAATTTATTTGAAACTATCAAGTTCAACCTTGGTATTGATATTTAAATTGTATTTTTCTTAGTGAACGGTTTTTATAACTATTTTAACTATTCTTTACTTTTCTTCTTGGATTATAGCTTTATGGTTTGAGTATATTTCAACCAACACTGCTGAAAGGTATTTCATTCTCTTTTCAATTGAATCTTCAAGGAATTCCTGAAAAATGACTTCAGCATTGTTAAAGTCGACTACTCCTATTAACAAGAAATTGAAATGCTTGTTTTCAATTAGTGCTTAGAACCTTTTTTCAGAGTACGCCTGAATTACTCTTGAAAAATCTCAACAACATTATGCTTGGAAAAATCATTACTCATGTCCCCAACTTTTTGAAGCGACAGCTGATTTACCCTCACCATTCCTTACTAAATTTGGTGATAGGAAAAGCAGACTTCAGTGGTTTTGAATATAAAGGATCTGACCATTTTCTTTCATATTCCTCAACCGAAAAGTTGGATTCTGCTGTCAGAACCTCAGATCAGCACTCCAGAAATGGTATTGCCCATCTAAGTACTATTGAAGATTTAAAAAGCTTTGTGTCACATGTAAGCTTATATATATATAATGTTACGGTGTTTGTATGTTATTACGGAGGTCGTGAAAATGTACTTTATGTATATCATACTGGTTCTTCTTTTCGGCTTTGAGCTACGCTGTTTGTGTAAGAGCTAGTGATGCCACTCATTTACCCAAATCGGGTAAGTTGAGTAGTGCTAGAATCTGGGATGCAGTGGTTGAAAGCGGAGCGCATCAACCAATTAACTACTTCCACAGGTATTTATTTCATTTCACAATAATGTGACTATCCTGGTTTATATCTAGTCACATAGGGGATAATTGGGATCACAGGATTTGGGTAGTATCATAGCCCTCGCGCACACCATGGTAACTACTGGTGAGGATTACGAACTTCACTACCAACATTCCAATCATCACTAATCATATTACATTTATGGCTATTTTATTGCGTATAAGTTTAATCGGTATCATTTTAAGTTTCTACACCATTTTATTTTCATGTGATTTAGGCTATCCCGTACAATAATTTTAAAATTAAGCTTACTCAACAGCTTATTTCTGTCGAATAATTAAAAAGTTGTTTTCTGTCACCAATCACAAAATCAGTTATTTGTAACTTTCTCACACTCGACATGATTGAGCTCCACTATTCCTGGAGTTTTAGGGAGAACTCCAGTTCAGTTTCCTATGGTGGAGTCGTGGATGCACACCTTTGAGCAGTCCCATACCAGGTCGAAACAGTTGTCCAGTGCTTTTTGGCTTTCGATAGTAGTTTGGCTAAAATCAGTCCGTAACTTAAACCATGAAAATTCTACTATATCCTTAAGTCTTCAACAAATTCTTTGTTGCCAAACTTGAAAGTCTCATCTCTAATGGATTAATAACTGACGAAACCTGGATACAAGTACAAAATTCTCATTTGCTAGTTCATGACACTTGTGGTTCAGATGAAATATTCACCTGACTATACAAAATGTTTGTATTTTCTACATCAAACCTCTGTCGATTTACAACTGCAAAAATACATTCTTGCGTTATGAGTACTGGACACAAAGGAGTCTTTGAAGCCTTGTTTACCTCTGAGTTCGTCAAAAAACCCATTTTGGTAATGAATATCCAGTACTTATAATATTTTTAACCTCCACTGATTTAGATAATCGTGAGATGTGTTACGCAAACCCAATTGCGGTGTACCTTAGTATAATTTATTGACTAGAAAATGACTAAGGAATAAACTAGGACATAGTATCAATGTGAAAAGTCATCCACCATTGATTTGAGATGTGTAGGGGAATGCAGGCTATCTGGTTAACATTTGTAAATCAATTTTTAGGAAAGTTTAGTGACACAACCCCAAGTCGATGTTAGTGGTGCTTATGTGTATCCATTTTCATACTTTTCGTTCTGTGCTTTGTTTTTTCTTCTTACACTTTTAGGCCCTCATTTTCATTAGTTACTTTCCTTTTTAATGTTATAGACCATGACGAATCAAATAGGTGCAAATTTATAATTGATCGTACCTAGGTATTAGATGTTCGTAATGCATAATTTTTTTCTATCGTAATATATACGGATTATTCGGCTTTTCGTTATTAAAAAAATTGCTGTCATTTTCTAGTGCATCTCAAGGTAGTCAACAATCTCCATCTTTTCCCACTGATAGATTATCTATTGTATAATTAAATGTTAAAGTTTACCTTTTTCAAAAAAAATCATTTACCTTACGTAGCCTAGTACAACAGTTAATGATATTTTGGACATTGATATACGGTTGCTACCTTCGGAAGCATGTGCGATGTGTTTAGAAGCTTTACTAAGAATGCAAAATCAGTCTTATGACTTACTAATTCGTAATGCTCAAAATGATTTAAGAAATTCTATTGCATCTGGTGTTGACTGGCCATCACATTATATAAAATTGGAGCATATAACAAAATGGCATAAATTTGATGTAGGAAGTAATCTATTCTATAATAATAATAATGACTACTCTTGGATGAAATCGGAAAAATTCGATCTTTTAGTATTAACAACAGCAGCTTGTGCCAATGGTTTATCTATTGAATCTTTACTAAGGCTAGCTGGATATTTTGGAAATTTTTGGGAACGATATGAACCAAAAGTTTATGCATCAGTACTACGTCATATTAATAATCAGGTGAGATTTTAATATTTTTCTATCACGATTTTAATACTTGTAATTTTTAACTACTTTTTTTGTGGAAAAATGTCTTGGATTAGACTGATTTGTGACTGGCTAGCAAAATAAATGTTATTTAGTAAAGTATACACGTCTGTGTAGTTGGGCTATCACACAATTGCTAAACAGTGTTTACTGAATCGGAATTCAAATAAAACGAACATTGTATTTAAATGCAAGTGTGATGTGGAATTCGGCATACTGAATGAAAGATTACTTTTAGTATAATATAAAATATGATAAACAGTGGCATTCGGTTTTCTTATTTAAAGTTCTATATTGACTCAAAAACAGTCTACCAGTTTTGATGTTTTCGTTCACCGTAGTTGGTGGTTAAAACGCTCAGTAAAAACAGTTGTATATACATTAAAAAGTTTTATCCACTTAATCTTAAACCGTCGACCGTGGCTGCAGTTACAGACTTTTCAGTTAAATTTGCTTGTAATAGAATACAATAAATATTCCAATAGGAAAGTCTATTCGCGTTATCCTAATATTTTATGCCACCAGGACTTTCTTTAAATCCTTTTAACAGGACTGAACCATGAAATTCCGTATCGAAAAGCAATATCTTTTGAAGTTCATTAAAATACTAAAAACTCCATAAATACCTCAGATAAAGTTACAGGGTGTAATTAATTACACCAGTCGCTTCAAACGACCAGCAAAGTTGAAAGTACTTCCTAGTTCCTCTGTAATGCTTCAACGTTTTCAGTCTAAAATTTTCTCATTTTAGTCTCGGCCAAACACAGACACAAACTTTCAGTGACAGTCAACTATTATAGTTATGCACTATGAAATATCATAGTTTACTATATTGTGAAAAATTTATCAAGAGCTTGCTTCAACGTATTCACTTTTGTTAACAAACAATTAAAAATACTTGAAACATTTGTGTATCTATATATTAATGATAGCAAAATTGTTGTTAAACATTTGAATTCAGTTGTCAGGAATTCCTAAATTTAGGCTTTCTTCATATCTTATTCCATAATGTTTTTTTTCTCTCTGAGATCATAAATCATGCTGCTCATTAATGTGACTTATCAAGTTATGACCGAACATCGAAGCCATTATGAATAGTGGTTGTTTTCAAACAACAAAATTAAGGAAAACGTCTTATTTTATTGACACTTCTATCGCAGTGTACAATCGTTCATCCTATTTTAATCCTATCTTTCACATGGTTCGTATCTTAATTACTCTAGTTGTCCGAAATATTTGTTTAACAAGACTGAATTATTAAAATTGTGAAATCGCTTCTTGGTCAGTTCAGTAATTAGTTTCACCTAATGGAGATAAAACTTTCTGGTGAAACGTTTTAAAAGTGAACAAAACAAGTAATGCTCGTATTCTTCATAACTTGTATCAATTGTTAACCTTAAATTGACGTGATGTAAAACTACATTTTGATGTGGTAATGAAAAAGTTTTTACGTCTTTGGCTTAGTTCGAAGTCTTTAAAACCCAGATGACATTGCAAATCTGTTGAATGTTAATTTCTGTTTATATATAGTAATGTGTATTAGTAGTTAAATGACTTGAATTTAAATCATTAGATCACAGCTGTTTAGTATTGTTAGCTTTCACACAAAGCTTTTACTTGGACGAGTACATAAACCTATATTTGTTTCATGAGTTGGATAGTCTGTTACCTTTCACCCTATTTTTTCTAATAGATCAACAATTTATCATGCGTTCATTTAGCTCAATTGGCACATGTATTATCTAAATTGAAGTATAGTCAAACTTTTGGATTCCCTCAGGAATTACGTACTGAGATTCATTTATTGGGATCAGCAATCGCTATTCGTTTATTGTCTGGAAAAGAGATATTATGTTCAGTAGATCCTACAGTTGCAATTCGCTTGTTATACGATATACGTTGGGCACTTTCGTACAATCAAAGAGTGATTCTGTTTGATAGTATTTATTATAATCTTACACTGAATAATGTACAATGGAATTTGTATACAGTTGCTTTCCTACTACTTCATTCATGTAAACTAATGATCTATAAACCTTCAGTGATAAAAAGGTTAGTTCAAGAGTCACTTCCTTTGGTTTGTTATCATCAATTACTTTCCGCACTAGTTTTCATTTTAAAATACATGCACATGACAATGTTATCTCGTGGAATATAATCCGAAGGTAATCTGTATATACTTGATGGCTCGTATATTTATGTATTTCAACTCTAAATCTTGCAGAAAATGACATCTATGAATAGTGGTTTGTTGTGATAGCTTATCCTGAACGTAAAGTCAATATTTCTAAATTACATTGACATTGAATTCATTTATTTATTTAAACACATGAACACTGGTACAAGGGGGCACCAAATATATATGCACCACAAAATAAAAATGAGGTTGTGAAGAGAAGTAATGAAAGTGAGTATAATAAAAACAACGATGAATAGAAATTAGTGTATTAGAGTGAAATAATAGTAAATAATTAGTAATAATAATGATAATAATAACGATAATAATGGGACTAGCAGTCCGGTTAAGAAAAAATGAAACCAGAAAGAATCCTCTCAGTTAAAGAAGTTACTCTCACTTTTCAGAAGAATATAGAGGTTACGGCATGATCTCTACTGACTTCTATACTGAGTCATTCATGAAAACGTCTTAAGCCACTGTGTTGCACCCCCATTAGGAAGGGAGTCGTGTAAGACTAACAGGACCCAGTCCTGTACAGCTTTCTTTCGTATTACGACATTTTGTCATGCACTGATCTCCGATTATTCCAACCGGTCTCAGCATCGGCAAATAATGCACGACGTGTAATCCGCCAGGACATTCGTAGGACATGCCGGAGCCACCGATTTCGGTGTTTCAAAATAGTAACACTGCCTTTTGTGGTAGGAGTGTTGTTTACGAAATCGAGAAAACGAAAAGCGAATGTCCGGCACTTTAACCGGGTTGGTGGATATGGAGGGTTCACGTAAGGGAGTTGGAAAACCCTGATTCCAAACCAATGGTGCACATGGGCTCCAGTATCCTGAGGGAACAAGTGGCGTATGAACCTATTGTTGGTCACCGGCTACTATGGGACTGCATATCCCAAAGTTGTCCCACTGCCCTGTGGATTAGACCTTCAGGTCAAGATTTCGGGGTGTGGCTACCTAAGAAAACCACCTGCCTCGGTTTGGGCACCTGGGCAGTATCACAACCCTCGCACAAGTCAAATGAGATTTGTGTGGCGCATATGTATTTGGTACCTCCTTGTACCAATATCTATGTGTTCAAATAATAATAATAATAGTCCTAACATTTGGCGAAGGGTTGACATCTAATCAATATATCCTCAACTAGAAAGAAGACTAGCCTGCTCCTCACGAATCAATCTTTCATGAGTTTTTAACAATCTACAAAATGTGACGGAAGCCAATAGTTTGGTCGCAGTTGGAATTAAACTTATCCCTTAATAGTTGTCGCACGGGTTAAACCCCTTTTAATTATTGGGACGACTAACGACATTTTCCACGAAGTTGGAATATTTTCTGATTCACGAACTTTTACAAACGATTCAGTTGCTTGACAAAAGGGTCGCCACCACTTTTATACAGGGCCGGAGTAAGTCGATTGGGCCTGGTGGTTTGTGACGCTTCAGGAATTAGAGTTCCTCTCGGACTTCCACCTCGTTAGGTGAGTCAGTCGACACTCGTTAAGTATGACAGATCAGTCTGACCGATGTAATCGGGACAGCAGACCAGTTAAACTGTCCTTCAAAAGACTGTCCATCGTCCAGGACGTCGGTAGATGTCCTTGACTGGCATCCCATCAGCTTTACAGATTGTTTCACTTTCATCCGACTTCTTACTACCAGCGACTGGAATGGTTTAGAAGAGCTTCCGGCAGTTTCCAGAAGCAGCTGCTGCTTCCAACTCGTTAGCGCGCGACTTTAATTGCCATTTTCCATGGCGTTTTACAAATGCAGCCAGTGCTCATCTTTACTTTTCGGTGGGTTGTTAGTTAGCCTAGAATCTAGCTCGGTTTGATATTTAGTTGCAACAGAAGCCACAACCATTTTGCTGACATCGATCTTCCAATGACAACATTAGCAAAAACTAGGTCATGATCAGAGTCCAGATAAGTACTTCAAAAAGAGCAGCAGTCTTGTACACAGCCACGCCAGCGGTAGCTGACTGTGATGTGATCAAACTGAGTCCAGGTTTGAGATGCAGAGGGAGCACGCCAGGTAACATATCAGTGATGACTGTACCAAAAGTTGTTGCTAGTCAGAAAGACGTTGTAGTCTACGCCAAATTGTAGTAGGCGGTCATCGTTATCTAACCTCCGACCAACAAGTCACAACTGACCCCTCCTAATGACTCTTCTGTATCTAGATGCCCAACCTGTGCATCTGATTCTCCGTCCAGAAACATAGTACCTGTCGAACTCTTTTTCCGGAGATCATTTGATCAGTGCTACAACTCATCGGTGATTGCATCCGGTCTGCAATTTATCGAGGGCATAGGCGGAGATAACGAAAAAACCTAGTTTCTCATATCGGTTTCTCACTTTGACGGAGCTTTTCTAATATAACAGCTCATAATCGGCTGTCAACTGGGATCCAATCGATTAGTGATGCCTCAGATCTATCACCTTTTCCAACACCAGCAAATCAGATTAAGGTGCCACAGGGTTCCCGGATGGACGTACACGTAACGAGATTTTCAAACGGACGTTAAGTGGATTTTCATCACAATTTTTCAAAATCTCCCTAGTTTTTCAGGCATTAATCTATATAAATTCTATTGAGATCAAAATAGCTAAATTTGTTTAAAAATAATTAATAATAAGAAATCTCCGAAAACTTAATATCTGTTATATACAAAGTCATCCTTGTGGTTCTATCACTTTGTTTACGAAACACTGACGACGTGTTATTAGAACAGAATGAAATTCACATCTTAGACACTACTATTAACGATCACTAAACAAATAACTAGTAGCTTAGAGAACGGTTTCATTATTATCGCTATATAAGTGGTTCGTATTGCGTATTCTATTTATAGTAGTAATTTTTTGCTTGCTTTCATTTAACAATTTGTTTGTCTCTTAGTTGTCTAGCTAAAATATCACGTAAATTACGAATATCAGATTATCATCCCAGTATAAATCAATCCCAGTGGATTAACGCTATCCTTGCTGCTTTAGCTAATTATACAGTTAATTTTAATGGTGCAAGTGGAAATTGTGAAGAAGAATTACAATATTTCATTAAACCACCTTGTCGTAATCACAAAAACAATACAGTGTCAATATCTAAAAGTATATTTATTCCGTACGAAGTATTTACTGCTGATTGGGTCCAAAGATTGTTCAGTAATATATGTCAGCACGTTACAAGTCAACAAATAGTAGATTATAATTCCTTGAAGTGTTTAGCACAGATTACTTATTCTTTGTCTTTATTTGGTCACAAGGCTGATTCCCTTATTGAATATTTTAATGATGCAATGGAAAAACTTAACAATGATGTTTCCCCTAACATGTCGACATCATTAGCAACTGAATTTTCTCAGCTACAATTATATATGAATATGGCTAAATGTTTACTTACCCCACTTTCTAAAAATAGTAATGAAACTGAAAGTAAGTCCAATTTGTTTTGGTTTGACGGTTTGTCATTGTTTTTTCTTCACTAGTTATATCATGTAGAAAGTTTTGTAATTGACTAGATGTTATGTGTGATCTAATACAAATGGAAAAAAATTCCAACCTTTTTAAAGCCAATATTCTATTATTTTTTAAGTTACACAATATACTGTTTTAAAACTAAGAGTTCCGAAGTTGGTTCCCTAAACATTTCCAGGTCAAAATGTATTAGTTGAAATAATAATTAACAAATAATCATATATACAAAACTTAAGGCTATATTATTTTATGGTTTCTATTTTAATGTGGATCGATCATCAGGCAGTGTATTCGTTGGAAGTCATTTTCTCAATGAGGTGGTCAACATAAGATTGATAGTTATAGTATGATATTTGTATTCAAAATATTTTTGCATTTCATCCACCCATTTTTTATAATTATGTAATTTTCATACTTGATTCATGAAGTCCCCGTATGGGTACCTGACCGTGGCTGTTATCTTGACGTGGTGATTGGGATTGTCTATTGTGATGACCTACTCAATCTTTGTTGGCCGGAACTTTTCCTGCTTTAGGTCATACCATGTTAGGTAATTCGGTTGGGGAACGGTAAGATTAAGAGCAGGGACCTAAGGTTCAAGGGCGAAGTCCTGCTAACTGTAGAGGGGTGCGACAGAACCTGCAGTGATACCACCTTCTTACAACTGAATGAAGGAATTATAAAAGGTCGATCCTAAGCATGTCACACCTCATATTACCCCATGGATTCCCGTCTCAGGCAGCGAGGCCTTTTGAAGTACGGCTCTGATAAGTCTTGTATTTGAACGCCAGATTCGGTCTCCTAAGCTCTTCTAATAACCTCCAGGCTAATCTACACGGCAAACAACACGAGAGAAAAGGCGCGAAATATGAAAAGCACACTTTACTCCAAGGTCCGTTTATGTAGAGGAAATCTAGGGTATTTAGTGCATTTTAGATGACCTTAGGTTTCCGGAAAATGCTGGAATGCTACTAAACATAATAGCAGTATAGGTAATCATCCAATCAGAAGCGCGACATATGACGTTTCACTTTCTAGATGTTTCTGACAAAACTTTATTGAGTGCTGGTTGGATAAGATGCTTCTTAACGTTTTCAGACCCCATTTTATCTTTTTTCGAGGAATTTTCTAGATCTCCCCAACAGGCTCCAGCACATCAAAAACTTCCAATGAAAAGGCCGTGTGTACCCGGCTCAAACAGTTGTCCTTTGGGCTCTGTGGTCACCCTCTCAGGTCGTTAAGATCACCATTAATCCAGTTTCGATTTCGCTTCCCTGAAGAAATATTCTTCCACAGTATGGACAGCTGGAAGTGGCAACCGCCCCCATACCTGTAACAGCATCCTTGACCATCTCCACGGCTAAATTCCTTCGTCACATCCTAATACTTATCATGTCTCCCACCAACAACCTTCTTCATATATCCCTATCACCACGCACCATCAATGCTAATGATTCGAGTTCACGTAAGGTTATTCCTGGTCTCCTGAAAATATTCTCTAAACTACATGTTGGTGCTTTCAATGTTCGAACCCTGTGTCAGACAGAAAACATGTTTCTTCAGCTAAGACAGTAGAATCTCGCGCTATCGATGTATGTTTTGTCTTCGAAACGCGCATTCGGGATCCTAGCATGGTCATTCGTCTGACCTCACGTTATCACCATAAAGAACCGTCACGATTAACCCTTCAGTTATCTGGAGACCTCAATGCTACTTCCCATGGCATTGTCGGTGCAAATATATCGTTAAGATCCAAAACAGAAAAGGCTCTGTCAAAGTGTATTCCGTTAGATAACCGTCTGTGCGCTGTTCGACTAAACAAGACAATGAAACTCGGACACATAGAGATACCCATCGCTTCCTTTTTCTCGTCTCTCCTTGTACGCACACTGGTTGTAACTCGCATGTAGTTAAAGACGAATTTTACAGAAAGCTTTCCACCTTCCCTCACAAAGCTAAGCGCTATGATGTACTAATAGTGGCAAGTGGTTTTAATGTCTTTGCAGGCAATCCAAAAATAACTGAAATACATTTAGGTGGGTCTCGCGGTACCGAGGCTCAGCGATCGGCTGCTGCCACTATGCGCAGATAACCGTTTATTTTTAGGAAGCAACAACTAAGCATAGGGGAAGAAGTGATCGGACATGACGACCCCCACAATCTACCCAACGATGGACTCAAATATACCACATTTCCATTAGCCATCGTTCGACGGGCTCGATAAAAGACTGTCGCTCATCCTAGAAAATATATTTAGACTCTGATTGTGTTTTAGTGCGAACACATGTCTGTCTTCTTTTAACTGTATGTAGAAAAGCCACACCAAAAAGACATTAAAGTTCAGCTAAATGAAGTTATATATATGACTCAGAATCGTTTGCAATGTCGCAGGTACATTCAAATCACTAACAGATGTCACTACTGTTTCCACAGTTGTTTGTATATTTTTCCAAGCAATATCTGGGTCGGCCTCGTTTTTAGAACTACCAAAGTGTGACCTCAGTTGTCCATAGAATCTACTTTTAGTTTTATCATCACTCAATTCAATTCTAATGAGTCTTTTTAGCGTGGCTTTTCTGTGTCCAGTTAGGCGCAAGTAGATTCGTGTCCGCATTAAAGTATGGTTGAAGTCCAAGCAGGTATTCCATAATGAGCGACAATCCTCTATCGATTCTCTCCAACGATGACTGATGACAATATGGTCTATTTGATTCTATCGTTGGTTTGGTGTAGGGGGTCGTCATGTTAGACGATTTCTCTCCTTATACTCAAAATCAGTGTTTGTCAGGAATAGACGATTGTCTGAGCACAGTTACAGCATACGGTCACCATTATCTGTTCTCTGAGCCGAAATACCAAAATACCCACCTAAGTGTCTTGATGTTTGGTTTAAGCTGCCTACCTGGGCATTGAAAACATCTGCTACGAGTACTATGTCTGAGTGTTTGGCTTCTTGAAGAAGTTCAGAGAACTTTCTGTAAAAGTCGTCTTCCACTTCATCCGGGCTGCAGTCAGTGGGAGCGTAGGCAGAAACGACGATAAGGCAACGACGTGTGTTCCCATCATTCTGAGTTCCTACGGAGCCGTTTAGCTGAACAGCACATTAGTGACTGTTGTCGGGGATCCATCCTAATAGTGCTTGTTCTACCCTCGTGCTCAGTGCCTTGTTTACACCCACCAGTTCACAAGAACTAGCCATCGTGTCGCCAGACAAACAGAGGGTGTATCTCATCGATTCTCCGTTTTGGCGAGGTGAGGTCAAGTGAATGACCACACTAGGACCCTATATGCGTGTCTCAGAGACACAGCATACGTCGATGGTACGAGATTCTAGGGTTTTAGTCAAGTTGTCCTGCTGGCCGATTTGACGTAGGGTGGGTACGTTGAATGTTCCAATGTGTAATTTGGAGCGGGGTTTCAGTAGAGCTGGGACAGTGTTACGCGCGCTAGGACCGTTGATCTTGGTGTCACTTGAGGAGGAAGTTTATAGTTGAAAGTCGAGGTATGAGGAATAATAGAAATTGAAGAGGAATATTGATTATGAATACAGTGATCAGGAGTGTTGTTAGGGGAATGAGGGTGGTTGTCACTTCTCGGTTGTCCACACCGTAGAGGGGTTCTTCTGGAGGTACCTGAAAATGGAATTGGGTTAGAAGTAATCTTAGTGACCTGAGATCATGACCACAGTGCCCAAGTGACAATTGCTTGAGGCCGGTCACACACGACCTTCTGTTGAGACCTTACTGCTAGAGGCGGATATCCGTGGAGTAAGGTTAGATGTACAATGTTAGGGTCGGCCTTTTCTAACTCCACCATTTCTTGTGGGAAGGCAGCATCGCTGGTATGCTGGTTATCTGAAGGAAACACTACTGCTATCACACCTCTGTACAGTCAACAGTACGACTTCGCCCTCGAACCGTGGGTCTGCTGCTCTTTAACCGAACTGTCTGGCATGGTAGGACCTTGGCGAGTGGTTGTTCCATCCAGTATAGTTCGACTTGTTCATTACGATAGACAAGCTCGGCTCCCACGTCAAGGTCGCTGCAACGATCGGGATGATTTTTACTAACATTCATATTTATAAAATGAGAGGTAAACTACTTGACTGTTAACTATAACGTCACAGGATAGAATTTAGTTTAATCTAATTTGGTTTGGACAGCCAAATGATATCATCAGCCTTTATAAACAATAAACAGAGTTCAAAGCGGGTTATATGTAAATGGACTCATTGTACTGGAAATCTAATCACCTTACTGGATAATTTGAGTATGGAAAATAGTATTGGACGTTAACATATTCTCATAGTTTTAAACAGTTTAATAGAAACAACTCATAATTATAAAAGAAAGTTCCAAAGGTGTAGACAAATAAGTTTACAATAATAAAATGAGAACATTATAAAATAAGGTGGACATTTCCACATAACACACGTTTTTCTATCTTTTTATTTATAGGATGCAACTATAGGTTTATGCACTTTCAGGCTCTCACATTGTTCAAGTCATCAGTCAGTGGTTGCATGGATCAGTACTATTTCTTGACCAAAGTTCTACATTATTTTCACTGTATTACTCCATATTATGACGGTTGATAACTAAACACGTACAGTTCATTTCTCAACTAACTATGTTGGTAAGAGTTTAAGACAAAATTTCGGTTAAGCTCATTACTAGCCACTGAACTGTATTTGCAAACTAGACCAGAGCTATTCTCAAGCCTTTCTGAATTTCTCTTTTCAGATTTTTCAAACCATGATCATGACACAGTAGTCATTAGTGTTCTCTGTCCAGGTTCTATCTGTACGATGCGTAATTCCGAAAGATTTATCAAAGCCGTTCTACCTCCTAATTAAATGGTAACATCTACTAAATGCCATCGTATTTGATCACAATTTTATCTTAGTAGTATTTAGACTTCTCCATTTCTGAAGATTTTTAGGCAAGACCTTTTAACTAAATGGCGTATGAACCAATTGTCGGCCACCGGCCACCACGTGACTGCACCTCCTTACGTTGTTCCTGCTTCTGTCTGGGCACCCGGGCAGTGTGTTGGTAGGTGTAGACTACCTGCTAGGGGACCGCGAGATGATAGCAACCGATGGTTAGAGACCCTGAATGACATGTCTCAAAATCGTTTGCAATGGCGCAGGTGCATCCACTCTTTGTGTTCTTTTAAATTCTAATCTTCTGGATCCTCATTGTCTCTTTTTTTCTCTTTCCAAATTTATTTCACTGGATTATACTCTTTAAATAGCATATTCAAACCCTAATGTTTCCGATTACTGCTTATACTCTTACTAGCTCTACCACTATGGGATTTGAATCGACAACTGCATCTCTGTGCTAATGTGGTGTGGCAACTCGAACTGATGTACGTACGTACGAAGTTCTACGTTGTTACTGACTGACTGATTCAATTTCGCTTACTTTAGCGTTTGCATACATCTAATTTCGATAAAAACAGATGCTCCATAAAGCAACAATAATGCTCTAATGTTTTTTATAAATGTCAACTTGTTGGGATATAATCTGGGTTCATAATGGGGTTGAATTTAATAGCTATAAAGAAGTAGTTGTAAAAAAACAGTCGTCGATGTTGTATTTAACACTAGGCCCTGAGAAAGCCCACTTAAGTGTCATTGTGCTTGTCTGGGCTTCGTACATAACATTTTATGTCATTAATTACGTCGATTTCATTGACAAATCTCACCAAATGAAGTGTACTTTTTTAGCTTTACATTATGATGCTCTATTACATCGTTCAACTTGTAGTCAGTAGGTAGTCACTGAAAAGAGTCATTTTTTTCTTTAATGTACACTCTAGGGTCCTCAAAAGGATTCGACTAGGGACATTTCTTTCATAAAAGTTCATTTCCCGATACTTTGGTTGTATATAGATTTTTGAGAAACAGAATTTATGCCAATCTTTATGAGTGGTATCAAATCTCATTTTCAGATCTGATATAGGATTGGCCATGTTGAACCTCATAGCTCATGCACATGCGTGTATAGTTTTAAAGCAATATAGTCGTTGTTGCGCTAATTTTTGAAATTCATTAAGTGTCAGTGCTCTTTGGACCTTTGATCGATAGACTAGTGCGCTATTCCATATCCGTATTACATTTCAGCATTACATAAAAATAATCTTTTCATAATGATCATTTATTGGTTATTGTTAATTTTTCTAAAGATGTTATTTTCCTGGTCGTGCAGCATCACCAATTGATTGGATTTAAACATTTAAAATATTAAATGTCCGTTCATTGGTTTAAAGGTTAAGGATTCCCCACGAGATTGAAGGTCTTGGGTTCAGTTTCCTGTGGGTTTGTGGGTACACACCGTACTAGGGCGAAATAGTTGTCCAGTACTAGTTTTTTTTATTGATTTTCGAACTAACATTAGTCCATGATATAAACTGAATATTGTTATATGGATTGTTAATCAGGAAATTTATTTAATGGGTCAAAATCGAATTTTAGTTTAATGATAGAAATAATATAGTTGTAAAATCTCAATCAGTAGAAAATTACATTTTTTACATTTTGCAACTTATGTTAAACCAGTTCAATGAATAAAAATAAATAAATAACTTTTAATTTGTAAGAGAAATTGGTATATTTTACTTAATGCTATCCCTGTTCTCAGTCTAGTGAATATAAAACTTTTATTCATAAAATTCACTAGTAACCAGACATGATTGAGAAATTTAATCAACCTAGTTATTTATATTCAATATCTCTTCTATTTAATCATATGGTATTCGACTAAGTGAAGTTTAATAAAGCAAGTTAATTGAGTTTAAGAACTCAATGTAGTATATATTCAATTTCTTAGTGAATTATGGTCCTTACTAAATTTGTTAAAAATTACTCAGAAAGAGAATTTTAATTATCTGGAATATTTTATGCCATTTTGTCTGTTATATACTGTGAGAAACTACAGTTTCTTGAAAGTGGGAATCTTATATGAATGCACACTTATTCGTTTATTTTACTTTTTAAGACTATTGGGATTACCATAACAATATATTTGTGAAACTTAATTAAAGTCAGTTGTGTTCCATGTAGATAAAAATAGAGATTTTGATTGATCGAAACTCTTTTTGAAGCATTTATTCTGAATTCACTATATGACTTTTTCAAAATTAATCTCTTCAAGATATTTTAGTACGATGATATACGATTAAAACTAAAATTCTTGTGTGCTGTTCTTTATGTTTCCTCATTAGTTATTGAATATGTATTGAGTCATTGTTGTTTCGTTTTTTGTTTCATTTAGAGCTGTCGGTTTCTTCACTACCTAGTGATTATTGGAGATTTTATTATCATTGTGGTCTTGGACTTTTACAAAGGTTTGTTTAACTTTTATTTAATAATTAATTTGGCCGTCCGGATAATGAACACTATAATTTGTTTGTTTAGTTTTTATTTTATCCAGAAAACAAGTAAATTTCAAAAGGAAATGTTATATTTAATTTTCTCATGGGCTGTAAAATGAGTTTATTGGTTATATCAAAGCAGTTGTTTTTCTCATGAGGTCATCGGATTCTCTCATTTCATGTGAAATAAATTCAACAGTTGCATTTCATTGATAGTCGTTAATTTTACAGTTTTACACCATATCTTCTTTCACATTACTTGACTTTAATTATGAACCATTTGATTTAATCTTTCAATGTAATCTAAGTAAACGTCATTATTGGTTGCGAAATGCCCACTTTACCATATAAAAATGCTCATATTGCTTTGAATACAATCTCGTTCAGATGTCCTGTGGAAGACTTAGTGCTGTTAACGTCTATGGTCAAAGTTCAAAGAGGTGGTTAGAACGTATCGTATACATATTGTCGATACCTGATTAAGATTTTTTTCTCATGTTTGGGTGGTGAGTGAATTTCACCTCCTAATGCATTTACTTTTGATGGAAATTTGTTGATGATAAATATAAGTCTCAGAGAATAGTCTCAAATATATGACTCATGAAAAAGTTTCACTTGATCATTTTATATACCTACCATAAATACATGGAATTTTAAGTCGCTCATTCGTTTTCTTCATTTATACTCACAAATCGTTTTCAATTAATCTTAAGAAAATTTATAGTTCTTATTTTCAGTCGACATGTGCTTGTATGATAGATAATTACACAAGTTTCACACACAGATAGATGACAAAATAATTGGAAATTTATGCGCAAGGTAAACGCGTAATATGGTGCTTTTTGTTAGTTTTCAGATAAATTTGAAGTGGATTATTGACATTTAAAGTGATTTTCGATTGTAACGGGATTAAAATTAAACTATAAAACTAGACGTTTAGTCGTTTTTCAATATCTTGTATTTTACTTGTCGAAATGAATCTATTTAACCTGAATCAGCCTTGGAAATCTAAAGAAGTCACTCAGTTACTCTCTGGAGTTCAGTTTTATGTGAATGGCCTGTTAATGAATGAAAGTTGTAACATATTTTTGTTAAGTATGGTTCGATTTTTCAAACACTTAAGGCATGTTTTGTCTTTTAATGGCTAACCATTATTTCGTCCCGAGTCACCAGTCAGAATCCTAATTCTTATTTTGTATATTTGACGTTTATTATTTTCTCTGACTTGACCAATTACACACCTGATCAGAATTATTAGCCTTGTGCCGAAAATGCATTTCCTGTCAATCCGTAGCTCGCTGGCTTCTCCATATTCCCTCCCTTATGTCCGAAAGCTCATATTATATTTACATTTAAAACAGACGTTGTTTGTGTATAGAAATACCGGTCCTTATCACACCATAAAATGAAAATTTTCAATTGTACATACACAAGTTAAAAGTGGTTGTGAATAGAGGAGACTCTGAATAACAGATTACCAACAAATCGCATGACAGTAATTTATGGGTTATGCAGAAGCTTATGATAAACCGTAATCTAGCTACTTAATAATTATACAATAAGAATATATATCATGATAATTCGTAAGTCCTGGAGGTTACCATTCCTCTAATTTTCGCTTTGACATATCAGGACCCTACCATTGTAAGTCTCAGTTTTTTTCGAATCTGTATGCACTAAAACTTTTTTATTGTATTTTTAGCAATGAAATAAACGATCCAGGGATTTCCAAAAAAATGATAAATAAAAGAAAAACCGTGAATCGTTTATACCATGTGTTCCTTAAAAATAGTGACCTGTTCAAAGAATTAGACATGGATACATTTCAGTGTATACTGTATCCTAATAGTGATAATAGTAACGTATACTTTGCAGGTGAGTATATCACTTGACTCTTCCTTGTCATATCATATGTTTTTTATAAACTACGTATCATAAACATTTATTGAATCCTTTTCGACGTATCTATCGATTTACTCATTATTTAAATAATTTAATATCATGGTCATCTTTGTGAAATTAATGTTGGTAGGTACTGCTTGGATATGCAAATAACAACACAAATTCGTTTCGTTGATAGAATATAGTAATTATAATCAAGTAACTAAAGGTATTCTAATGTAGGTAAATAAGATTTTTGTATGAGTGCTAAAACTTTTATACTTTTCTAGTTAAAAATAACTTGTAATCGGATGTTTAGATATAAATTAGTCGTTGTTATTCTCACATCAGAATAGATACAGTTCAATTTTTCCACGTAAATTATATACTACTACTATTAACTCGATAGTATGAATCGTTCGAGTTAATGTTTGGCAGATTAGCAAATTAACTTATCCCTACCATAAATATGCACTATGACCTATTTCACCATTATATTGTCATTTAAATTATTCTATGTAGATTATAATGGTATTGAGAAAAATTAAATCATAAATTAAGAAAAAATGTGCTATTTGGAAATTAATTGTAAGTACTATTCGACAGAAAATTGCCCTTAGTAAATTTTATGTCTTATTCGTCAAATGGACGATTTTACTAACCTACTATCAGTTGATACAAAATTGATTCGAAAACAACTGAAGAGTAGAAAATCTTATAGCTGGATAATGACTAGTTATGGTTCGTCATCTAGTCTAAAATTGTTTCCATTGATTGCAACTAGGAATAGACAAAATCACTTCACTCTATAAAACTAGTTGAATTAAGAAAAAAAGATTGTACAATGGCATTATTGATCATATTCAGTTTATTTCGATAGCTTATATGATCACGTTTTACCCAAATAGCATTTCATTACCGATCAATGTTCTTTTTGTCTAATAACTGTAGATATTCTGTTTAAACAAGTATGCGAACAACACGAAGGTAATTCAATATTTTCTGTTCGTGCTCATAACATTCTCTTTTAATTATTTGATTAATCAAAATGAATAAATTATGTTTATTTATTTGATATTTTATTTCTAATTTTGAACTATATATTTGTATATAGATGTGTCACACTGCTTACTTACTTATGAATTTGGTCATGAACATATGAAGTTTATTTATATCAAGAATATAATAACTTATGACTGAGAATAATACATCATCATGATCAGCATCCTAATAATCTTAAATTTCGCACTTCAACTACTAATATGAATTATTTCAAGGATATGAACTCTTTGATCGAATGATGTTACGCGATTATATAATCCGAGAAAAATTGTCTAGTTCGTTGATTTTTGAACAGTTGTCTAAACTGATCAACTAAATTGTTTCGTTATAATTACTTTCTTACCCATGCTATCCCTCGTGGAGAAGCATAGTCCGCTGATTAGGATTCTTCATCGAACTCTTTCCTGGGTTTCATTATAATTATACATCATTTTTTCCAACAATTCCTATAATTTTTAACTGTTAATTCGTCTTTCTATAAATGAATTAGCTTCAATATGTAGTACATTTATAGACATTTAGTCGAATGTAGTCTTGTTAAGATAGATACATTTTCATAAGTTTTAATTTAAAAGTGTGACAATTTATTTCTTCTAAAATTTGCTCTTGGAAATTGTTTTTTATTTTCAACTTTTTCAGGTAAATATAATTACGTTATTTGTATTGTACATGAAAATCGTGATGAGGTCGCCAAAGGTCCGTTACTTTCACTGTTAAACTTTTATCGTGAAACACAATGTTTGCCTGTTCTTACGGTAAGATTGAATTTTCAACATTCTAATCATTCTGTTTAAATGTGACAATCAATCTAATACAATTTATAATTTAATATTTTCTCATTTTAAATCATTATAATTATTTCTATGGTAATTAAAAATTATATTGTCCGTTTTTTCTTTCAAAAAAAAACATTTAACCGTGAATATGATCATTTTTGTTCGGTAACAAACAAAGCTCTTGTAAAGAAGTAAAGTAGATAATGAATATTCTGAATAATGCAAAAGTGAAAGATTAAAACTTGTAAAACAGATTTTATTTTTATTACCTTTTCAAATAATGGTCTTGTTGGGAAGGGTCTAAAAAAACATTAAAAATGATCGATTTTGTTTTGCATATAGAAGACGATTGTTAGCGGGACATAGACTAGATTAAAGCATGCTCAATGCATGATTGTTTTGCTGCACGCTGATTGGCTGATTCTTATCCAATCAGCACTAGTCGATAGTCGGAGAATGCTCTGGAATCTTTTTATGTAAAAACTATAAATATACCGACGTTTTCCCCTATTGTGCTTCTGACTTGCTATTTGGAATTTAATTTTTTTCCTGTTCAACCGTGTTCTGATTTGGGGACTTGTCGAGTGAATCGGTGTCCGAGAATACTAAGCAATAGGAATAGCTGGGTCATAACCGTAAGAAAACAGAGTTATAACAACGATCGAGAAGAATTTTAGTTGTTTCAATTTTCTAGTTAAATTGATTCTACAATTCAACACGATATCTCTTCATCTTAAACGTCATAAAATTAAGATCAATCATATAATCTTGTGCTTTATAGGGCTTGTTATTTTGTTTTTTTTGTTCCATGAATTCATGACTAATCCTGGATAATAGTGAGTGTTTATCACCAGTGAAATGTATCGAACAATTCTGTTTTGTACAGAATTGTGATTAAACATAATTTTTTTAAAGAACTAAAGAAGTTATTTAATTGTTTCATGTTTGTGTATTTTGCTTTTCAGTTTAATATTTGTACTTGGAATAATTTGCCTTATACTGAAGCCAAACTAATTATGGTACAAAATTTTCTACGTGAAGTATCAAACAAATTAAATGAAATGAATAATTTACATCTACCGGAAATTTATACAACGAATCTTGTTCTTCATCCAACATGAATTATTAGGCTTTAAATAGTTTGTTAATACAGGTTTTATGTGTACACTTTCTAGACAAATGTGTGTATAAACAATTCATAGTTTTGTATGACTAATATACTTTAAGAAAGTGCTTTTTTTCTTTTGATTTGCAATGGATCTGTTACATTCTGAATGTTTTCGTATTGGGCAAGAAAAAAAACAGTAACTTCAGCAATGTCTTTGTATTTTATAGTTAATGATGAGTAGATTTTAACAACCTTACTTCTTCTGAATGTTGTCTCAGTTTTTGATATGGAATGTTCTCATCTTATTTTCCATGTTGGATTATTTGTAACGATATACGGTATTACAAAATACATATTTCCTTGATAAAGCTATTGTTTTCTGTTCTATTCACTACTAGTATGTTAAAGTTTTGTGGAAAGAATTAATCTTTTTTTTCTACCTCATTATTAAGGTGATGATAATCTGTACGATAACTTATATTTGATGTTAAGTAGAATTATTTACTAACCGTTAATCTAGTAAGAATTCCTATTTCATACTTGCATCTTCTTGAATGTGTTTGTTTTTCTTCAGGGTCTACTAAAAAGCAACTTCTTTAAACTTGAAATGATTGTAAAATTTATTTATTATATTGATATTTAGGATTTAACTTCTGATAAACTTTATTTTCTTGTAGATCTTAATGAATAACCAATAGGGTTGTTTGTGAGTCCGATTAGTTTATTCTATAAAATGATTATTTAATTACTCAATATTCATTTTATATAAGCAGAGAATATATTGACCAGTTATTACACGAATGTTTAATATGTGCGTTAATAAATATTCAGCTTAAAAAGATCACCTTTGAAAAGAATAATATTTCTTTAAGGCTGATTGGTATTCACTAAGCAAGCATCAATTAAGCGACGTTGTTTAAAGCGAAATTTCTATTCGAATTTCACTTTTGATGCTTTAAACACTTCATAAATAAAGTTTGTTTTAACCTAGTCAAGGTTAAATATAACGATTTTCACTTACGATTTCTAGGAAGGTGTATTTACACTGTAATCATTGATTCGACGGCTTTTACCAAATAATTATCGCTATATTAAAGAGTTAAACATTTTAAGTAGTTGCTGTGAAAGTACGATCGACTGATAACAAAAATTATATCTAAAGACGAACATAATTAATAAACCTCATTTTCATCTTATAAACTTTAATCAGTGATGTGATCGAGTTGAAGAAATACCATACCACCATAATTAGTGAATTTCTTATATTTGTAGTAATTGATTAAAATATATTCAAGGTTAGTATTGTCTTTATCAATGAATGAATCGGAACAAGTTTATCTTTAAGTGACCTGTTGAGTTCATAAGTTTGAAGACTTAAGTAAATAATAACATTTTAATTACAAAGATGCAAATGTGCAAGTGGATTTTTTCAAAAATATAGTGTGAAAGCATACAGTAAAAAAGGTGAGAATTTGTGGATATCTTGTTATAATGTAACAACTGACTGATAAAATGATGCGATCCCTGTTCATGACTGAACAGATAAATTTTTCATAGAATAAACTTAATCCTAACTAAATTGATTTCAGCAAATCCAATCAGTCAATTGTGTCTAGATATAAATAACGTTTTTTATCGTGAATGAATGAATAATTTTGAATGCATCAAATAAGGTTGACTTAGTGCATAGAAGTTGACAAGGAAATTTGCATTGTGTAATGTCGTTAACTCTTTCATTTTGTAAGTATTAAGTACGATCTAATTAACACTTCCTATATGTCATACTCTATATTTCAATTGAATGATGGCCTCCCCATCTGCAGTGTTATCACGGAGCAATTGACTGTTGTAGTTACTGCAACGATGTAAGTGTTCGAACTGAAAAATTTCCTGTTTGTATGAAAGGGATGTTAAGCTTTTCAAATATATTAAAATGAAAGTATCTACATTCTCAATCAATGAAATTTCAACTATTACTAACAATAGTGATATATTTTTAATATCCTAGCGAGTAGAAAGTTCTGACGTCTTGTAGCGTAGTTCAAGTCGTTTCTTCAGAAGTTATCAAGTCGAACCTCGGTCGTGATATTTTACGAATTGCTTTTTAACAACTTAACATGTTATATAATCAAACCTGAAGTTTCCTACTATACGGAGTGTTTGTTCACAGTCAAATAGATTTCAATGGGGCCATTTATTAATCAACTGAATAAAGATGTAAATATAAGTAAGAAATACTGTTGCTCTGTATCTAGTACGGAAATAGAAATAACCATTCAGTAATGAAATTGTAATGATGAGAACAACCAAATAAACACTGATTGCTTTGTGACTTTCATTTCCGTCCCTTTTTATTTGTACGTTTTGTTAACTATAAGATTATAAATAAAGGTGATAAATATACTGAATGATTCAGACTAAATGGCTGAATCACGTGTAAAAAATTGCTTGCAAAACGATACTGCTACTCATGGCAATTAAAATTATGTGTTTTTCAAACCTCTAATGTATTTCAACGCATCATGAAACAACTGAAAAAAAGAAAGGTTTTTCTGCAATATATATTGAAGAGTTATTTACAATACACATCAATAATAAGCAGTAGCTATCCAAACTCAAAAATGAATCTTTAACAAATAGAAACGTTGTTCAAACATACAAATTGCTACAAAACAACAAATATTGAATGGATGCACAAGAAATGAAAATAACTCATTAGAACGTTAAGAGAGTACAACTTCACTGAAAAATTAATTTATATATATATATATATATATATATATATATATATATATATAATATCTCAATGACTAGAAAAATTATGTTTGTGACTTAGTGAAAGCCATTTCTTCAGAGTAAATAAATAACCGAATTGAATTAACACAAGCTTAAGTAGTATTATATTTATTATTAACTTTCTACCCAATACTCATTTTTTCTTAAACTATCAAGTCAAGAATTGGATGGAACTAGAAAAGAAGGCCCATGACAGAGTGGGTTGGAGAATGCTGGTCGGCGGCCTATGCTCCATTGGGAGTAACAGGCGTAAGTAAGTAATCAAATCAAACCTCGGGATTGATGCCTGTACATTTGTGAAGAATTATTTATTCGTCCTCATTCTGTAGAACGTTTCGTTTAAAACACTTATATGATATTTCCACAGTTTATGCCACGAATTGATCTTAGCTCGACTATCATTGAAAATCTGGATTCAATAAACGGTTGTTTCGTCTTAGTATGAAACTAGTCAGCAATGCATATCAACAACTTTAATATTAGGAAACGAACCTAGGACTTTTTATCTCGCTTGTGAACACTTAAATTTTAAACCGCTAAGCTGGCATCCAACGGAGTTAAGGTCTGTCTTTAACCAATTTACGATCTTGAACAACCCTCATTCATTGGGCGTCGTGGATAACTGCCTCACGCTTTTCACGGATCGAACTCTAATGGTCACAGCTTCTCACTAACACAGGGGGTACATCTTGATGCTAATCGTTAGTGAGCACGCGACTGTTATTAATATGGAGGATTTGTGTAAACTATAAATGTTTTGGTCAAAATTATGAGATAATCTATCAGATTGTGTAATTTAAAACCTTACTACAATTTCTCCATATTTCACACCATACGACTTCTAAACATTACATCAGAAGACGCACTCGACATTGTTAACAATTGGTTGAGTTGTTAATTACACAGGTAATTTGTAAACCATGTGTTGACACTCGATGTACTTATTGTTGATTATTTCCCTTGAAGAAACTTTCACCTCACAGGTGATTAAAACATTGAATTTCAGTCACTTAGATTGTTACATATATTATTTCCTTCTTAAATGAATTATATGCCACAGATTTATGTAAATGCCTAAAAATGTCACATATTATAGTCTAGAAACGAAAAACTATGTGCCCAAAAATGATTGATAGTGACATAACATATTGCGAACTAGTAATTATACAGCAAAACATACATGAAAGAACCTAATATGAAGTAAATGAAAGTGGAAGGAGCAAACAGAATTTATGCACTATTATATTTGCTTAACACTTCATAAGTTGAGAATTAATATCGTCTTTCGAAGTTTATGCTAATTGGTCAATAAGTTATTTTGTCACACGAAACTAAATTTTGGCAGATAACTCATTATTGTCACTTTGTACTTATGTTAAAAACACATGATATTCTTATTAGTTATGAGACGTAGACACTAAATACTCTCAAGTTAATATAACAGATATAAAAATATATTTGTCAAGGCCGAAATTCTTAGTATATAATGTAAATACCTAGATTGTATTAATTGGAAACACACTTGAAGAGAATTTCCCAAATGATAATCGATAAAGGTAATAATTGTAAATAGAAGTGAATCTTCTGATTCTTAAAATTGAACAGCTTGGTTGTATTTTTACACATTACGAAGATACTATGTATTATATTTGTAAGTAGTACAGAGTTTCTCGAGAATTTTTCCTGTTTATTTTTGAAAGTATTTTGCTGATTCTTAAATGGCGTTACATTTTGTTAGCCCTAACTTTCCTACTCATATCACCTTTAGGGATTGTATAAAGCAGCGCTACTATGAAGGTGGTTTTCACCGTGAACTGTTTTTGACAACAGAACCATTGGAAGCCAAGGATAATTGAAAGTTTTTTGTTCCATCGAAATTTATAAAAGGGACTAGTTGCTTTAAACTTTTGTTGAACCAAAGTAGCAATAGGCACGCACTCGCCATCACTCAAATAATCTCAAAATGTCCAAATATTTTCAGAAGAGCGAAATTCCCATTTACCAATGTGGTTAGTTAATATTCATAAGAGTTTTTCAATCCAGAATATTTGTGATTTAACGAGTCTTTTAAAGTTGTCGGTGAATTTCTATTGCTCTATTCGTTTAACGCTTGGTAAAACTTTTAAAAACCTGTCACATGGAGCTAGTCATGAAGAGAAATAAATAAATATTATTTAGTTGAACCGTCTGTGGGTAGCTTTCCACAACTTTGTTTAATGAACTGTTCAATCATTCAGTTATCAGTCAGTCATCATCAACTTATAGCCTGTCATATACATTATCTGACCCATGTTGCCATAATATATTAGCATATCCTGGTAAAATTAACAAAATGTTTTGCTAAGGACTCTAAACAATGTAATAGTGATGATAGTGGGAAAAAAACGAACTTTGGAAATATGGTTTAAAGAGACAGAATGGAAAGCTTTATATGAAGGAAAACTGGAATTAAAATAGGGAGTTCTGTAAGGAGTGAGCACATAAGAAATAAAAAGGAACTTAATTGTACAACCCAGTACGTATTAGAGGAATTAAATAGATTGGTAAAAAAAATTAAACTTATCTCTGG